TTTGAATCGCTGTGCTGCCATGCTGCTCTGGCCTGCTGTGAACACGCAGATACGCAGCGGAACTGTGTCACGCCCACCCCCCCCCCTTGAGATCCCTGCGTGTGACGTCAGCCCAGTGTGCAGCCGTCTTCGTCATCCGCTCGGGGACACCACGGAAACCCAGTGACGGGATCCTGCTGATTTATGCCAGGGGTGGGCGGGGGGATTTCAAACATGAGGCATATTCGTTGATAGAGTCCCCCCTCCCTGTACCACCTATCTTCTATGTCTCCACTGCAGCACCAGTGGTCTGGTTAAAGCTCTTACTGCCAGCGCCGCCCCCTGCTGGGGGGCCAGCGGTCCCAGCGGCAGGTCATGATTAATGTGGCCCACGCCGTCTAATGAGCAGCCTTCCGCTCAGCCCCCCCCCGGCAGAGGCGGCCTTGCTTCCTTGTAAATTAGGGAACTGTAAATATTTGCTTTTAACTCTTCTCCTTACATTGTTTCCAATTTTGTGCTTCAGTGGTTCCTAACCCCCCCCCCCCCACCAGGAGTCTCAGTTGCCCCTTCCCATTCAGACTGTGATGGGGGTGATGGCCAGCCAATAGGGGGCAATGTTTCCATCATGACGGGTTTTTGCCATCGGTCCTGACTACTTGCATGATTCTTGCGGCGGCCCGTGTCAGAGGGGATCCACCCCCCCCCCCCCCACTCCACGCCGACTGCCTGGGGAGTGCAGATGAGAAACGCTAAATAATGCATTTTAATTTGTGTTTTTATTGACCGGTGTCTCACGGAAGGGTGAGGCAGGGGGTGGGGGGGTTCACACTGCCATAGACTCAGAAAAGGAAGGGGGCTGCCCCTATCTTCATGTCCTCCTCTGGCTGGTTCTTCTCCATTTCAGATCCGGCAGTGACTCGTCATTGAACTTCCTCAGGCATCCTTTGACCCAGCTGACAGGCGTGCATTATCTGCCTCTGCTTGATGCCTGTCAGTGCTGTCCTCCCAGAATGCCGAGCAGCAGCCTCGCAGCTCGGGCTGGACGAGGGCACCTTGCCCCAGACCTGATGAGCAGTCATCTCCTCTCATTGTGGACTCTCAATGACATGAGCATGTCTAGAACAGCTGCAGAACATCTTGGGTAGTATCAGTGGGTAACAGACGTACTGGACATTTTTTTTCCGCGTGAAGGTTGTCCTGCTTCAATCCCAGCGGGGCACTGCTGCTGGACCTTTTAGTAGGGAACTGGCATCTTTCGGTAGACAGTGGGCACAAATACAGAGGCTGAAGTCGGGGTTTGCTAATAGCATAACAAATGTCAGTTGACCCCAGCTGCCAACTCTCAGGCCAGAGGTGAAGACCTCCCAGGCCAGCTTTCTTCACTGGCCTTTGCCATAGGCGTGCCTGTTCCTGCTTCCTCATTACAAACACTCCTGCTTCCTAGACAATACGCAGCAGGGATTTATGCTCCTGTTGTTTTTTGTCTTCCTTGAAATCATCTTTGGAAAGGTGCCGGGGGCTCCAGTTTTCCAGCTGCCCTCAAGGTGGAGAGGACCTTAAATCAGGAATGGCGTAGGTGTGACGTAGAGATCTTGTTAACGCGGCTCGTGTATCATCAGCACGGCAGGATGGCTGCCGCGCCGTTTCACCACGAGCCCGGCCTCTCCGTTTTTATGATGTTGATTCATTGTTGCAGAGATGTGTGGCTTTATGGGCAGAGGAGGGGGGGGGGGTGGCTTACCCATTTAATCTCGGGAAGAGTCTGTTACTGCACCGTAACTTAGAGACGCTTTACTGCCCCCCCTCCCCCCGCTTGGATCTCCCTGGTCCACTACGCACAGGGAGATCCAGTCGCGTGACTTGCCTCTGCTCCCTCGTGGCCCAGCAGCACCACTACGTGTCATCAGGTCTGTCAGGTCGGAGTGGGGCTGTCGTCCTGGCAGAGAAGAGCGTGTGATGCACCGCGGTGCTTGCCCGTGGTTTTTAATCAGGGTGATAAACATCTCCCACTGTCCACACGCTCACCTCTCCGCTCACCCACCCCAGCCAGGCCGCCGTGTGACTAATTACGCCCCCCTCTGTGTGGACTCTACCCCACCCTTTTATCTCTTGCCGCTTCCCTGTGATGCCATGTCTGTGGGGCAAGTTTCTATTATTACTGTTGCCCCGCGCCCCCACCCCCAACACACGCCATTATTTTTTCAGCATAAAACTTTAATGAGAAGACTCGTTTTGTGTAAGGGCCGTTAGTGTGAGCCGGCTCATCTCTGAGGTTTAATTAGAAGGGCGCCATGAAATGCCGGCGCCCCAACACCCGCTCATCGGCCTCTTGGGACTGTCCTTCGATTAAATCGCGTAAGCAGCCACCAAGCTATCAGAGTGTGATGAACGGTGAAAACGAAAAGGGCAGAGTCATGGCAACCGAGATCAACAGAGCTCCTCAAAGCCCCCTCCGCCCCCCCCAGGCCAATGCAGCACCACTCTGGATAGCTTGTCTGTCGCCCACCCCGCCCCCCCCCCCTTTAATCAGTGTGTCATGTCCCCCACTGGTGTAACAAAAAATGAGGTGTTGCCAAAGCAGTGAAGTGCTTAAATATTGAAAGCCTTGATTAGGGACCGCTTATGAAAGCATAACAGGGTAACTGGGGAGTTGGCTGTTCTTACAACACAATGTTTTAAAACAGTAAGATGACACTTAAACCCAGGTCTCTGTCTCAGTCGGTCACGTTGTGGGCTTTAAAAACACGCATAATAAAACTGTTTTGTTGTTACGTGGAAAATAAAAGATTATAAAGCAACACATGTTTTGTTACTGTAATCTTAAAGCGATATTGAAGCCTGAGTATGAATTGTGGGTATGATGCTACTTCGCACAACAGCAGAATAGATTTTTCCCATAGATGCTGTTTTTTGTTTACATAGTTTTGTTTGTCTCTCATTTGAGATTATCTCCCTTTCTTGCTTTCTTCGCTCGAGGGTGAGGGGGGCGGTAGCGGTCCGTGCCGTCGGGGGCGCGCTCTTACAAACGCGACGGTCGAGTCAGATCGCAGGGTCAGATTGCCGGAAATAGCCGATAGACGGATGCTAGTCTGGCGCGAGAGCTGTGCGGTTGCGAGCTGGCGCACCTCAGGAACCTCAGGAAGTCTCCCCGTCAGGGTGGAGGTGCTTAAATGACAAATAAATAACGTGTAAACAATAAAGTACATAAAACAGTAGATAAATAAATGCAGGCGGGGTTTACAGTTAGTTTCATTTGACAGAGCGCGTTGTGTAAAATTAGAGGACTTCTCCGCGTTAAGAAACTGACGTTTATTCGTTTGTCCGCGGGGCGGTGACAGTCGACGAGCAACAGCAGCGTTTCCGCGCAGCGCCGGACTCGGCGCCTGTCCGCCCGTGTCTGAGAGCGCGCCGTGGGCACAGGCTGCAGTCTGCGGGCTGTCTGGCTGCTCCGCGTCGGCCCGTGTCAGCGGCCAGCTTTTTAATGTCACTTCCTGTTAAGCTGCTCTCTCACAGTCTGTCTGCACCCTCCATCTGGGATAAACACAAACAATTACAGTGATATTACCCTGAGTGGACAAGAGCGGATTAACTAGTCATAGTATTTGTGAATTTTGAAATTAAAATTAGCATAACACGTTCAAAATAATGATAAATATAAAAATGTATACGTATACTGTTGTTTATTTTTTGTTTTGATACCTTGACAGTATTTTAAATATTGTATATTTAACTATAAAATACTAGAAAAACATGTTTTTAATTCTGCCCAGTACTGCCAGTCTGACTCCTTGTTTTGTCCTGGGTGGTTTTGGGAAGCAGAGGGTGAAAGGCAGAGTGCACCATGGAGAGAAAGGATAGACACACCAGCTCACACAATACACTATGGTCATTCAAGACTTACTCATTTACCAGGCCAGCATGTTTGGACTACAGTAATTGTAATGGTGAGCATTACTTTTGTTAAGACTTTTTTTGTAAGCATTGTAACGCAGTTAAATGGTAGTGTGGGGCACGTTTCATATTTTTTTCTCTCCCTGTTTCTCGCTCCCTGGCTCTCTCTCCTTCCATCTGTCCGTTTTGCTCTCTTGCTCTGCTTTGGCTGGCAGGTGGACACATGAGAGCGGGTCATATTTCACACACTGGGACTGAACCCTGTGCTTTAATTACCGTTGTGCATTTTGTCATCCATATTTCCCAGACGTTGCGCACTGGTATTTTTCTAACGGAACACATGTTTTTTTCCATGGGGATTCTGTGTAGCCTCCACACATATGTTTGCCGTGCGCTTTGCCAGGCAGCTGCGCTGCTTAAGGTGGTTGGAGGTTTGCCTGCGCTTCAGCTCCTAATCACATCACATCATCCATCCACCTGACCTCTGTGGGGAACAGCCTGTCATAATGTGGACTATCTGCCTCTTAGAGACAACAGATAACTCAACGTGTTCCTTCACACTGCAGCAGAAAACTAGTCCCATTCCAAGAAAGCAAAGTAGCGCTTTTGGGTGGCACAGTGGGTGGGAGGTTCAGATCCCCTTCTGTTATTTTGAGCTTGGCTTTCTTGAGGAATTTAGGTTCATCCTACAATACAAAGACATGCAGTTTTGTGGTTGAGTATTACTAAGATTTCCCTTTGTGTGAAAGTGTGTGCCCTGTGATGTACTGGCATCCAGACTTTCTCATGCCATGCCCCCATAGGGCCCAGGGTAAGTGGTAAGGAAGGTGGATGGACAGATAGATGACATGTCAATAATTAAAACAAGATTGGTGCATTCCACTAAAAGGCTGGTTCCAGTTCTACAGGGTCTGCTCTTGTTTCCTTAATGTGGATGCTCAGTTTCAGTCTATGTATCCTGCCTGAGGAAGTTCATTTTTTTTTTAACACAGTGACATTCTGACGCAGAGCTGTTTTTGTATTTATTGCTCTCCGTTGCTTTTCACAGCATGACTGGGGCTGTGAACCTCGAGCTGCTGGTCCCTGCTCACCCTTGACCCTTCTCCCTTCCTCTCTTTGCATCGTCGCAGGTCAGGCGCAGACGGAGATCGCGGCCCGATGTGGACAGTGCAGGGGCATGGAGCGTAACAGAGCGCCTGGCTGTCAGCGCTGAGGAGGACGACACGCACCTGCCACCTATTTTGGCCTGACTATCCCCTGTCCCTCCCCCCCACCTGCCCCTCCCCCCTCCGTTCCCCCTCTGTCCCTTGCCTTCTTCACTCCATTTTGGCAGCTCCCCTCCTTTCACCAGCTTGCTGTTTTTTGGGATCCATTTTTCTTTTTCTTGACGTGCCATTCGACTGCTCTCGCTAAAAGGAGGAGCCGGGCGAAGGGGAGCAGTAGAAATGTCTCTCCTACTTCCATCAGAGTGCAGGCGAGCCACAGGGAGTGCCTGGAGCCGCCGGTGCCAGCGTTCAAACCCCTGCCTGCTCTGGCTGCTGGGCCTGACAGTCCGGCTGGCCCTCATCACGGCCCAGAAAGTGGACGCCCTTGGGAAGTACCCCATGGTGACCACCAATTACGGGAAACTGCGAGGCATCAAGAAGGACCTTAACAATGAGATTTTGGGCCCGGTGGAGCAGTACCTGGGGGTGCCGTACGCCACGCCCCCCATCGGCGATCGCCGTTTCCAGCCGCCTGAGGCGCCAGGCTCCTGGCAGGATGTTCGCAACGCCACCCAGTTCGCCCCCGTCTGTCCACAGAATATCCATGGTGTGCTGCCGGAGATCATGCTTCCCGTCTGGTTCACCGACAACCTGGACATCGTGGCCGGGTACATCCAGAACCAGAGCGAGGACTGTCTCTACCTGAATATCTACGTCCCCACAGAGGACGGTGAGTCCTGCACGAGTAGTATGGGGGGCGGGGGGGAGTGAAGGGGCTAGACAGTGGTGGTGTGTCTTTATTCGATGGGTAGGGAGTGAAGGTGGGCGGGGCATCTGGTGGTGGGTGGGGCATCTGATTGTGGAAGGGGCATGTGTTGCGGGCAGGGTATAAGAACCTTTTAAGACAGCTCTGGGATCCTCCATCTCAAGGAGGGTCTGGTCCTTTAAAAGCCTCGCTAGTGTTCTTAGTTCTTCACGAGGAAAAGGTTGTCCTCATAGCATGAGTGGGTGGGTGGGAGCAGGACGCTGCATCTGTTCTGTTCTTTGAAACACCACTGAGTACTGCCTGGAAATTATCCATAACCCCCTCCTTTTTTATCACTGACTAGAGTGACTTTACTGTTTTCTTTCTATTTTTGTGCAGCAGGATGATGCAGGTGTGTGCTCCGGGATTGTCTCAGATAATCTATTTATGGCTTTTGTCTTTCTTCCCTCGCTAATTGCCCATCAGGCTTTTATGGTAAAGAAATGGTTTCACAAGCCAATTAAATCTGAGAGACTTAATCAGAAAGTGTATGTAGACTTGAACTCTGACATTTGTGATTGTGTGGGTAGCTTATCAAGGGGCTACTTGTACCGGGACCAGTATCTTGACACGCCTTCGCCAGACTGCGCTCTATTTCCTGCTGATGACTGCAGAACCTTCTGGAAACATATGGCATGACGTTTGACCTGTTTTTGTCCCGTCTCTGTTGCCATGGCTGCCGGAGCCATGTTCACGCAAAGCATCCATGGTAACAGGTAGCATGCAGCAAAAAAAGCGTTTTTGTGCATATCTACCGCGGAACTGGCCCCGCTGTCATCCGGCAGGACGTTCTGGATGACCGCGGCCTCACCGCACTCCCACCAGTTTTTCCAGACACCTGCTGCATGGAACTCTTAGAAGGTCAGCCATGATGCTGCCATCTGGGCCGATCACACAGCCACTGAGGGATTTTATTGGAGATTGCTGAGGATCCATCTCTTTTGTCTCGTTTCCATGATGTTCTCGTCCCAGGAATGTGATAGCACCGTTTTTTATTTTCCGCTGAGATAGTTACGCAATGCTCTTTTCTTCTCGCTTTGTTGCCTGGTGGTCTGGCCATATCTGCTTACTGGCAGCCCACTTCCAGCCCCCAGCTAATGTCCCTCTCCAGTTCTCTAGGCTCCTACTTCGCACTACCCAGTAGGGACGCTTTGCGCCAGGATGATCCGTGGCTGTTTCTCAATACTTCATCTGCCTGTCCTCCTTCCTCACGCTCTTCCTCCTCCCGAGATTCACTCATGTCTCCATGTTAACTACGCTGAAATTCTTACATTACCCGCAACTCTTTGTCCTCAGATCATCCTCCTGGTCCTGTCTTCTCAGATAAAATTTATTTAAATGACCCCCTTTTTTTAATGTTGCCACCTTTTAAGAAGACTCCAATCTTTTTGCTGCATTAAGGGCGGTAAGTGAATCTGGGACATGCCGATGTGAATCCACCTTATCCTAAATTAAACGGCGTGTCTGGAGAAGCTGGGTCCCTTTCCTGGTGCCCGTCCTGCCGAGGGTGTGGAGATGTGTCCTGCTGGAGGTGCACTGGCCAGTGGGGGATGTTCGGAGCACTTTGGTCACGCTCTGGGCAACACGGACATTTCTGGAATGTTCTCAAAAAATTTATAGGATGTTAGTAGAAGGCTCATCTGTCACCTGCAGCGTAGGATTTAAATGTCCTTCTGCTCCTCAGCTGAGTGTTTTTTTTAACCAGTATGGCTGAATGTGACTGCAGCACAGGGTGTGTGACCCATCCCAGGGTAGAACAGCGGGGTGTGCAGCACAGGGTGTGTGACCAGTCCCAGGGCAGGACAGCGGGGTGTGCAGCACAGTGTGTGTGACCCGTCCCAGGGCAGGACAGCCGGGTGTGCAGCACAGGTTGTTTGACCCATCCCAGGGCAGGACAGCGGGGTGTGCAGCACAGGGTGTGTGACCCATCCCAGGGCAGGATAGCAGGGTGTGCAGCACAGGGTGTGTGACCCATCCCAGGGCAGGATAGCGGGGTGTGCAGCACAGGTTGTTTGACCCGTCCCAGGGCAGGATAGCAGGATGTGCAGCACAGGTTGTTTGACCCGTCCCAGGGCAGGATAGCGGGGTGTGCAGCACAGGGTGTGTGGCCCGTCCCAGGGCAGGACAGAGGTGTGTGCAGCACGAGGTGCAGTGTTTCCCCTAGGTTTACAGCTTTTTTTGGGGGGGGGGGGGTTGGTGGCAGATGGACACCGACAGGATTCATGGTGTTCATGTGTCTCTTTTAATGACAGCAGTGGAGATTCAGCCCATAAGACACTGCGGCTATAGAGAGTGTGACGTCAACTGACAAAGTCAGATTGCGGATGTTTGTCTTGACCTCAAGTCAAGTCAAGTGGCTTTTTATTGTCATTTCAACCATATACAGTAATACAGCACATAGTGAAACGAGACAGCGTTCCTCCAGGAGCATGGTTCTACATCGACATTGGACTACATAAAGTGCAAGTGTGCAAAAAGTGATATACATTGCAAAAACACTGCAACACAAGACAGCATACAGAGAGGAAGACAGGCTAAGTGTAAAGTGCAACAGTGCAATAGGTTGTGCAAAAAGTTGAGGTAGTGGACTGTGTAAGGGGTGTGTGTGTATCCGTCCAGTCTCTGATTTTTCAGAAGTCTGACGGCTTGGGGGAAGAAGCTGTTGCACAGTCTGGCAGTGAGGGCCCGAATACTCCGGTACCTCTTGCCAGAAGGCAGGTGGGTGAAGAGTGTGTGTGAGGGGTGTGTGGGGTCCACAATGCTGGTGGCTTTGTGGATGCAGCGGGTGTGATAGGTGTCTGTGATAGAGGGAAGAGAGGCTCCAATGAGGGTCTTGCGATCTGATACGGTGCAGTTTCCATACCAGACAGTGATGCAGCTGTTCAGGATGCTCTTGATAGTCCCTCTGTAGAAGGTGGTGAGAATGGGTGGTGGGAGATGGGCTTTCCTCAGCTTTTGCAGAAAGTAGAGACGCTGCTGTGCTTTCCTGGTTAAGGAGCTGGTGTTGAGAGACCAGGAGAGGTTCTCTGCCAGGTGAACACCAAGGAATTTGGTGCTCTTGACGACCTCCACAGAAGATCCATTGATATTCAGTAGACAGTGATCGCTCCGTGCTCTCCTGAAGTCGACAATCATCTCTTTTGTTTTGTCCACATTCAGAGACAGATTGTTGACTTTACACCAGTCCATTAGCTATTGCACCTCCTCTCTGTATGCTGACTCATTGTTCTTGCTGATGAGACCCACCACAGTAGTGTCATCGGCGAACTTGATGACATGGTTCGAGCTGTGCATTGCTGCACAGTCGTGAGTCAGCAGAGTGAACAGCAGTGGGCTGAGCACACAGCCCTGGGGGGCTCCAGTGCTCAGTGTGGTGGTGTTGGAGACGCGGTTTCTGATCTGGACTGACTGAGGTCTCTCAGTCAAAAAGTCCAGGATCCAGTTTCAGAGGGAGATGTTCAGGCCCAGCAGGCTCAGCTTTCCAATCAGGTGCTGAGGAATGATTGTGTTGAATGCTGAACTGAAATCTATGAACAGCATTCGTACATATGTGTCCTTATTTTCCAGGTGGGTGAGGGCCAGATGTAGGGTGGTGGCGATGGCATTTTCTGTTGACCGGTTGGGGCGATAGCGATAGCTGTGATATCACTATTAAAAGTGATAGCTGATAGCTTAAAATAGTTATAGTTTAAAGCAGAAAATCCCATTGTGAAACGTATTTATTACCCTGCTTTTCAGGTGGTTGACGCGACATATTTTCCGACACGCGCTCTCTGCCTGTTGGTGGGAGTGTGCTCACCTGTGTGCACGCGCATGTGTCTGTGCGCGCAAATTGGGGCGGAACTCCGCCATTTGCGATACAGAGAGCAGAGGAGAATTGTAAACACGCAACCTTGTAGAGACAAAAATGTTAAGCTGTTGTGTAAATAAGATAAATAACATTAGGCTATTTATTTAAAAGGACAATGTATAGACCTGTTCTATAGGAAAGGTAACGTTAAATGACTTCTGTTGTGATCTAGTGCTATATAGAAAATAAAATGAAATTAAAATTAACTTGACCTTCAAGGGGGGGCGGGAGGTGCTGTTGGTGGTGGCGGGGAGCCCCCCTAATATAATGGTAGGGGAAACACTGGTGTGTGTGGCCTGTCTCAGGGCAGGACAGCGGGGTGTGCAGCACAGGGTGTGTGGCCTGTCTCAGGGCAGGACAGCGGGGTGTGCAGCACAGGGTGTGTGGCCTGTCTCAGGGCAGGACGGCGGGGTGTGCTGCTAGCTTACCTACTGCTTCCTGCCTCTTACCCCCCCAATGCACCTCATAAGTGGCTCAATAACTCACACTCTTGCTCAGCTCCGCCACCCCGTTATCTCTCGTTTACAGGAAAAAAAAGAGGCGATAGACTTTGACACCAGAGCAAACCTCCCAAATGGTCATACCATCTTTGGTCTGGTAGATACTTGGATTGGGGTGGCACCGTAAGAGTGCTGACTGTTGCGTCATGGTACACGATCGCATATGAAGTGGTGCCTGCCATGCCTAGGAAGACAAAGGCGGCATCTGTCTGCGTCACTCTCAGGGCCCCCCGGCCGGGCCAGATGTCCACGGGCTCGGCAGGCCATCGATTGGCTGCAATTCTCTGGGCTCGGCTGACGAAGACGCCGCTCCAGACGAGATGGGGGGGGGTATTTAATAAGATCAATGTCCGTTTAGCCCCCCTACCCTTGGCATCACACGAATCCCCTGAAGGGACGTAGTATTATTACAAAGTCTCTCAGGTCTGTGCTGAGGAGACTGGAATTCAGGAGTGTAAGGGAAGAATTGAGGTACTGTTGTCACCCCCGAAAGGAGCTAGTGATGGGGGGGGGACTGTCACCATGGCAATGCATGTGACTGTGAGTGGATTAAAAGGGGAGGGAGGGGACTAGCA